CTGCCTGGAGGGGTATAGAGAACACTCAATCTATATTCTGGTCAAGCACAGGTAGATGGAAGAGCTGGGAGAGCCCTGTTGCCATGCAGCTCACCAAACTCTGCAAGTACTTTGAGTTTTTATCAGTGGGGATGAGGAGAGGGATTCAGACCATGGGAGCTTTTTTGCAAGTGAGATCAGCCCTTGCATAAGCTGCAATAGCTTCCCACATGGAAGTGGGAGGTTAAGACCCAGCTCCCACTGAGTCTCAGCCATTAGCACTTCTGAGACCAACAGCACTCTGGTTTCGATGGGTAGCTGGGGGTATAGAGACTTAGAGCCATACCTTGCAGGTCCCAACAGCATTAGCAACAGCTCCTTGAGCTCAGCCCATTCTCACTAATATTATTTCTCTATGTCCCAACAGCATCAGCAACAGCTCCTTGTGCTCAGCCCATTCTCACTAATGTTATTTCTCTATCTGTTATCCAGAGCAGGTTTTCATCCTCTCCAGTACTCTTCCCTGATCTTGGCCAAAACATTTAATCTCTGTGACCCACTTTCCCCACATGCAGACTAAAGTAAGCTTTTAGAACATGTTAATGCTGTGCTTTGGAAATGCTATTTTTTTTTTCCTTATCTTTGTTCAGATTTCAGAGGAATATTTATCCTCTGGTGCCTCTCCAGCCCCTTCTGGTTTTCCTTACTTTCTTGGTGTACTCTCAGCCAGCAGGACAGACTTGCAAACTGGTGTTTGTTGGTGTGCTGGCACCAAGAACTGTTTCATTTTCTGCCATGCGTCTGTCCCTTAATATTCAGTTTCACATTTTCTGGAATGAAGCCCTATTGTTCAACACCCATCTAAACCCTGAATTAAAGCTACTGGAGTTTCTTCTCTTTTTATACTAGCATGGCCAGGATCATAATCTGCCTGATATTACAAGTACCTAAAATATAAAATTAGCTTCAAACAGAGCTGATTTTGCTCTCAGTGTATCAGAAGTCCTGACACAGCCCTGGAAGCTACATGCAAGCAAAAGGCATTGCATAAAGGTACTCTTCTGGAACTTTTCTGTGTCCTTTTGTTATAGTAAGGCTGAGTCTGGTTGCCACTGATGGGTTATAGCAAAGCATCTGTTATCTTCAGGGGCTAAGAACTGGACTTGCCCATCTCACAAAGGCATCACTGAGATGGGGGATGCCTATGCACAGAGATTAGCATTTAATATGGCAGCACAGCTTGATAAACTGAATCTAAATAAAACCATCAGGTCACTCAAAGGTGATTTTTTTTTTTTTTATTCCCCCACATACAGATTGACTATACAACTTGTGCTTAATTCTTCTAGAAGTGAAAAATCTGGTCCTTGCAGCTTTTAAGGAGGTTTTAAAAATAACTATTCTTCCATCTCTGTGGTTTAAATAGAATCACAACCGTACTACTTATAGCCTGGAAGAGAGAGAAGATGCTAAAATATCAGGCATTTTTAACAGAGTATGAGAAAGAAAACACTGGGTTGGGTACCAGTAGGATTAGGAGAAGGCAAGATCTGTGTTAGAGATCACAGCCTTAGGCCCCTACCTAAGAAGCTTCTTAAGCTTTAATAAGATACTGCAAAAATTGGAACCCTGCCATAAAGACCTAACAGTAAAAGAGGCATGTAAGGTATAACTGGAACACAATTCCCAGCAATAGCACCGTGGCTTTGCCCCCAAGTCTTTGTAACACCATTCTACCCCAGTACTCTTTAAAATTCACCAAGCTATCATCTGATATTCCAGGATGAAAATATAATTAGTACTAATAACCAACTTCTGCTGTGATCTGAAGCTCTTGACAGCTTTCCTTCTGTACCCAGATGCATTTTCCAACAGCTTTGGAACTGATCATTAAGTCTCACTTTGTTTTCAAGATACTCCATCCATTTCTTAGCCCAGATCTGGCAGTATCAGTACAGCCCCATCTTCCTCCTGCCTACCTTCTATGCAGCTATACTGAAAGTTCAAATTGCAAACTTCTTAAGCACTTTAAGAAATATTGCCTCTCTGGTGTTTAAATCTGAGTTAGGGGTGGAAAGCAAGACATAAAACCAAACTAGAAGCCCCACTTCACTCAATTCCTTGCCTAAATCTAAAGCCACCATAGCCCTTTTCTGATCTGTTACACACACCTCTTCTGTGCTCGTTTCACAGTCAGGACAACTATTCCTCAGGTCGTGCCTAAGAACTTCAGACTAGTCCCTACAGATACAGTTTTAGCACAGAATGCTGTGTGGAAATTGAGCTTCTCTCTGTCATTTGTGTGCAATCTGCTCCAGCACTGCGATGATCAGTGTTTGTTAAATGTCGTATCAGAATGAAAGGACAGCTTTCTCTGAGATAGCTATAAAGTTGTGTCAGGATCCCGCCATCAGGCCAACAGCTGAAATACTGTCAAAGAAGTTGCAGAACAATACAGCAGGTTAAAATGCCATGCTTACTAAATGTAAATTACCCATTAAGAATATAGTTTACAAATGAGTACAGTATTAACCAAGCCACCATGTCAAAAAACTGCTTTGCCAACTAAAATTAGCAACCCATAATTACACACTCTATCATTAACAGAGGAGTGATTAGCTAAACCAGAAATTTGGTTTCAGGAGACAAAGAATTGTGCTATTTAAACCTGTTGCCCATCATGAACTTAAGTCTTCTTAAAAATAGCTTTAGTCACTTTTATTGGTATAAACACCTAAATTGAGATCTAACAGCAAATAAGGATTGTGCTTGTCCATAATAACCTCAGCTGCAAAATCTACTCAGACACAAGACATACAACCTTCCACAAAACACAAGTTATTTGCCAGCAAAGCAGAATGCTGCCATTCTGAAACAATTACATACAGTAAAGGTTTTCAATATTTTATTAAAGAAAACAGTCAAAATGTACAAGTATTACCCAGGTTTGTAGATAACTTCCTATAAAGGCAGTAAAATATGAATTTCAATCTAGGTTTTAAAAACTGCTATAGTTGCTTATTTTTAAAGTTGGTATTTTAAAATCACATTTCACAAACAGTTCTGAAATCTTACCAAATGAATAGTGCAACAAGAAAATTGAAATTAGTTCTACACTGTTTGCATGTCAAGCAAAAGTTATAAGTAACTGCTTCAAATATTCAAACCATCGGAGAATGAATGAACCCAACAGCTCCCACCAAAAACTAACTTCTGACCACATTAGGAATGTCCTTTTCTTGTTCTTCACTTAAGATCAAATAATAAGAGAACAACACCTCTTGAGGTCATCAAAAATAACTTTAGTAGAAAATTGTCTTGGCCCTTATCAAATATTACATGAGTAAAATTGTTAAGCCTTTATCAAAACAGACAGGAATAGGGAACAAAAAAACATGTCATGGCCTTAATCCGTATCTGTTGGAATTATGTCTAGAAAGGTTAGAAGCAAGACCAGAAACTTGGAGCCCTGTTTTTGTTTTTAAAAACCACACAATCACAAAGAAAACCAGCTTCTTACTGCCTAAGGTTTGGGGGTGTTCTGCTCAAGTACCTGTCCCACAGACAGCAACCTTTTATGTTCTGAAGAGAGCATAAGCAAAATATAGAAAAATAAATAAAACAGCTTCTTACAGCCTAAGGTTTGGGTGCTGGGTGGTGGTTTAGTCTGTCCCCCACAGGTCACACTCTCTTGAAATCATATGCAGAAACATGGAAAATTATATCCATCTTTCTTTTTTTTTTTAGAAAGAGAAAATCCCCCCTACATCCCAAAGCTCTTGAGATCACAAAGGATGGTGCCCTGGGTGCTCTGGATGCTTTGGCAGCATGGGAAGTGGGCTCGGAGACAGACCCTGAGCTCCTTGTTGAAGATGAAGCAGAGGATGGGGTTGACCCCTGCCTGAGCAAACGTCATCCAGACAGAGGTGGTCAGGTAGACCTGGGGGATGGAGCTGGCCTTAATGAAAACCCGCAGGTAGCAGGCCACAATGTAGGGGGACCAGAGGAGCAGGAAGAGCAAAGTGATCATGTAGAACATCTTGCAGAGCCTTTTCTCCATCTTAAACTCCTCCAGCACCAGCAGCCTCTTGATCTGGCTGTGGGTGGCCTGCCTTATACCCACGAGGGTGGGTGGCGTGGGCCCCCTGCCAAAGCCAGCCGTCCAGTTCGCAGCTGCTTGGCCGGTAGCTCCCGGCCCATGGAAGGTCCAGTTCTGGCTGATGGCTGGTACCAGCTGCGCTGGCTTCATCTTGCGGTGGCCATGGATGAAGAAGAGCAGCTTGATGTAGACCAGGTGGGTGGCAGCAATGACAGCTGCCAGCATGAGCATGAAGCCCAGCGTGTCGTTGGCCTTGACGTAGCGGTGCTCGAAGATGCACTGCTCCTCCTCCCGGATGAACTTGTAGGTCCCCACGTCAAAGACAGGGGGGAAGGCCATGGCCATGGAGAGGGTCCACACCATGCACACCACAGCCAGGCAGGTCCAGCCCGTCATGCGCTTAGCGTAGAAGCGGTGGTGGGCAATGGCCATGTAGCGTGTGACCCCCACGCAGAAGAGCAGGAAGGCGGCGTGGAAGCAGAAAAGCACAGCCAGGAAGGCCAGCACCTTGCAGCTGAGGGGCCCGTGGGGCCAGGCGGCCCCGCTGCGCACCGACAGCATGACGAAAGGGAAGCAGGCCAGGGAGCGGAGCCCGTCAGCCAGGCAGAGGTCCAGCAGCAGGTAGTAGGGAGCGCGGTGCAGGTGCCGGTCCTTGAGGATGAGCCAGGCGAAGAGCACGTTGCCCGCCAGGCTCACACAGAGGATCAAGCCCAGGGTGGCCAGCTTCAGCCCGGAGGCGCTCAGCAGGCCGCCGGCGCTGGGCAGGTGCGGGCTGCTGCTGCTCCCCAGCTCGCTGCTGTTCGCCATCGGGTCCTTCCTCCTCCTCCTCTTCCTCCTCCTCGGCGGCGCCGCGCAGGCAGGGCCGGGGTCTCAGCGCCGCGGCAGCGCGCCGGGGCCGAGGGCCGCGCCGCCCGGCGCCCCCATGCCCGCCACCACCGGCCTCCCCCCGCCGCCAACGCCGCCGCCGCCGCCGCCCCGGCGACGCGGGGCGCTCCCGCCGCGCTCCTCGCGGGCCATGCGGATCCCCTGCGCTAGGGCCGCGCCCGCCGCCACCGCCGCCCCATGGGGATGGGGGATGCGCGGGGTGGGCTGTGGGGGGGTCACACACAAGGCGCGGCGCGGAGCCACCCACCCCCTTACCGCCGGCGAGCTGCTCCTCCGCGCCGCGCGACGGGCCTGCCGAGCCTGCGCACAGCGGCGGCGGCTCTGCCCAGCTCCCGCCGAGGACAATGGGGTAAATCCCCCTCTCTCCCTCCCTCCTTCTTCTCTATCCTTCCTTCTCCTCCTTCCCTCCGCCCTGCCTCCGCCCCCCGCGCAGCCCGGCCCCTGCGGAGCGCGGGGCTGAGTCAGGCGCGCAGCGGCGCGGGGCGGCGCGGAGGTCCCGGTGCCGCAGCGGGGCTGGGAGCGGAGCCGCCCGCAGCCGTGGTCCCCGCCCTTATCCCCCGGGGTGGGGCTGGGCGCGGAGATGGGGCTGGGAGGCAGCGGGGGCAGCGCGGGGTGTCCGGCTGCCGCGTGCGCTCGGGGAGGCAAAGCCGGTGGGGAGCTTATGGAGATGATGTGAGCGTGACACAGGGATGTATATGCCCAAATATGCGCGGGTTGGTACCTACTGCGTGTGTGTATGGACCCCGTACACCCATTCGTTAGTGATACGCCTGTATCACATTCACCAGTGTGATTTTGCTAGGTTTGCCTGGGCTAAACAACCATTTAACTTTCTTTCTCTGCATGCAGGGGACACAAGTCCAGTAGCGCCTGTTGCAGCCGAGCATCTGGGCACGCTGTCCCTTGCTGAGCAGGGAGGTTTGCAGGGGAAGGAGGTTTACAGCCAGTGTGTGTGGCAAATGTTTCAATGCTACAGCAAGGAAGAGCTGCTCCTGCAAGTCAGGAGCCTGAAGATTTGTGTCTGTTTAGGTTCCTGAGAAGGCAGAATGGGAGGGGAAGTGGCTAAACGTCTCTAACCCACATGGATGCTTCCTGTGTTTTTGTGTGTTGCAGAGGTTTACCCTCCCAGGCTTAGTTACATGGAGCCTGGCAAGTTTTTGGGAAATGGAGTTCTTAAGACCATTGGCCTGACAGCATAGAGCTTCACCTGTACTGTTGGTTCAGGTTTATAATGGGCAGTTTAATTAATGTAGGCCAGTGAGATGCAGATCCTTGTCCTCTCTCTCTCTTTGCCATCCTTGGTATGTAGGGCAAGGCCTCTCTGTGTGCCTTGTAAAGCAGGCATCACCGCACAGCCCTGCGCTCTCTGGAATGTTAATGCAATTATCTCACTGTTACTGATTTTCCTTCATGGCTTCTTGTGAAGGACACGTCTGAAATCCTTTTCGAGCATTCTATTAAAAGCCATCAGTAAATTCAGTATTATTCCAGAAATGATGGCAATTAAAGTGTCTGCATCAGTCCCAGAAGCGGATGCTCATGGAGCAGCTTTTTAGCAGATCTTGCTGGCTGGTTTCAGAAATCTTGTGGCAGGGGCCAGGCACCGACCTCAGTTGTGCCACCAGACATCCAGAGCAGCTCTGCTGAGCTCCTGGCATGTCAACAGTCATGGAACCAAACCCAGACTTTGCCCCAAATATGTGTTGAGGGCAATCTGTATTACATACAGGATTTCATTTGTCCGTGGATCTTTTGTATCTCTTGTTTATTGCTAATGTTAGGAGAGTAAAGAAATCCTAAGGGGAGGAGGGGGAAAGTGGCAGATAATTGAGTCTGCTTTTTGCATCCTACCAGTACATCTGAGCTGTTTTCAGTTGTTAGGTTTCTCATTTGCACTGAAGTTTTCCTGTGACAGAGAATTGCCCACGGGTTGTTCAGTGCTTTGTGCAATTTTCAAGGCATTTGTTACATTCATGCCATGACTTAAGAGCTGAGTGCACTGTGTCCCCTGGGCAGCCACGGCACCAGCATCAGGAGCAGTGGCTTTCTGGAGGAGCCAGAGACACCACATACCTTGCTTGCTGCCAGTGTAACACAGTACTGTGTTAACGGGCTCTCCCATGCCTGGGTGCCCGCAGCCGAAGTACTTTGCCAAGCATGAGTACAAGGATTGGTTGTCCTTAGGGGAATGTGGCTTTTCAGAGGAGCAGAGGAGACCTCATGGCCTGTGTAAGCTCTGTGATCTCTGCCATCAAGTGAGCAAAAGAGAATAACACACCTGCTTCCCTCCTCCATGCCTGCGGGTAGGGTTTCTCTTCTCCCTGAACGCTCGCCAGCGCAGCTGAGCTGGCTCAGAAGCTACTGTAATTCACTGCTATCTTGCCAGGCCAGCAGCAAATTGCTAGCTCATCTTTCTCCCACCTGTAGCGAGGGGAGAGGATGGTGTTTCATCCATCTTCCCAGGCCTGCTCCCCTGCTGGGGCTGCTATATAGCACTATAGCAGGTGTGAGGAATTTGAGGGCAGCTTCCTAGTGGAGCTGGCTGAGAGATGTGACACTAAAGGAACGGCCAAAAGGAATGGGGAAAATAAGGGGGTTAACAGCCTTCACAGGAGCAGGCTCTTCGCTTGCCAGATGCCCCCATGCAGGCATGTCTGCATCTTGGCGTGCTTCACTGGCATCTTTGCATCAGACCCGTTGGGTTTAAACAAGTTTATCACCCAGGCTTAGTCTCAGTTTGGACATTAGCACAGTGCCACATTTACAGTATTTGACTACAAAATGAGATACAGAGTATTTTGTAACCGCTCTGCTGTTGCAGAGCTGCTTGAGGAGCTCTTCCAGCCCACAGGGACTGCAGTGCCTGGGGCGGTGTCCACTGTTAAGAGGAGCAGCAGGGACTGCCCTGGCTGCCCTGACATCCCCTTCATCTGTGGTGCTGCTCCATGGCGCACAGCCGGACAAAAGGCAGGTCCATCGCAGCAGTCATGGGGAACAGGTAATTTCCAGAGATTGTAATGAGCATGTTAAGTTATTTTCCTTTCTCACCTCAATCACTTTCATAAAATGTGTTTAACGAAGAGCTGTTCTTTGCTTACAAAATGGTGCTGCACAAACTACATGGATTCCCCTGACCTTTCAGTGTGCTTTACTTGAATTGGCTGCCTCTTCATGTTCTCTGCTCGCTGCCTTAAATGGGAGAGACAGTTGAAATACAGAGTCTTACAGCAAATACTGTGGCATATTGCCTTCTTTCCACCAGTCACAGGTATTCTTCCTAAAGGCTTAGCTATTTATTATTGATGATGTTATTGGTGTTCTTCTGTCTGGGAGCTCTGTATAATGTTTCTGGAAAGAAAAGTGTCCTGTACCCATGGTACTACTGTAGTAGAAATCAGCGTTATCTGTGGTGTGACACAGGGAAGAAGTAGGAAATGTCTGGACATGCCTGAAGGACAAAGAGCCCGTCTGTGGCCTGAGACACCACGGGGAAGCAGGACAGGTGGGGAGCAGCCAGGCAAAGCAATTTTGCTGTCACAGATAATTCAGGCAAGGAAAAGTCTTCAGGCTTAGTAATCAAGGAGTTGGAAAGGTCAGTCTGGAGCAGAAAGGGATAAGAGAGGCTTGAGTCGGATGCTGGCACAAGAAAAATTTGGATCCTCCTTCCCAGCTTCCTGTAATTCCCAGACAGCTCTCCGGATTACTTCATTATTTGTGTTATCTTTGCTCCTAACAGAGTGAGTCAGGGACCAGGGTGCTACATAAGCAAAACAAAAAGCTGTACCTTTGCCAAGGGAGCTTAATACCCAACTGTGAGATGGGGGAGAGATATGAACTCTAGAGAAAGGGGGAAATGAGTGAACAGTGAAGCTGCATCATAGGGAATGGCATTGGCGTAACCGTGGCTATCACTCATCCCTGCAAAGGGAGGAGAGAGTGCAAGGAGATAATGAGGTAGGTTTGTGGGTGTTTACAAGGATCATAATACTCTGTGACAATGACGGAACAGAAAATGACACATTAAGGCAGTGTTTGGGCACCAGCTAATGTGAAAACAGTGTGAGAAGTTTTAAATCTGCAAAATTTACAGTACTACCCAAAATAACTGCTTTGCACAGGAGTCACACTTACCTCTGTAACCAGGGCACAGCCATGGTACATGCCTGTGAACTGAAAACAGATTTAAAGCAATACTGGAAGCCCCCACCCTACATCTTGCTTGCAGAGGGTCCAGATGTGAGGTAGAGATGGGTATGGGCTGGCAGAGGCCAGATCTATGTTCAGCAAAGCAGTGGTGCATTTTGGATGTGGCTTTGCTCAAGGAAATATTAGCACAGTTGTGCAAAATGTACAGATGACACCGATGAGAGTATTAATGTCACTGTTGAATCCCCATTTCCTGGGTGGCAGCAGAGGATCTGCAGACAAACAGGCAAATAGCTGCATCTATCCAGCAGAGAGGTATCTGACAGCCAGCTATCACATTTTTCAAGGGCTTATTCCTAGCTGTTTAATACTTCATACGCTCTCTTGGGGAGGGAGGAGTGAAGAGCGGAGGAGTATATTTGGCACAGTAGGGAAGTGGACTCGGGTCTTTTCCGTCCTTTAGTGCTGTACTGTTGCAGAGGGAGAGAAAGCCTCCTTCCACAGTGGTACTAATCCTCCTCCACAGCGAGCTGAACGTTTTGAACTTGAACTACTCCTCTCATTTTTCCCCCATGTGATTGTGAGTCAGGCTGAGCTTCTCTATTCTTCTCCATAATAGAGTAGGAGATTATTTTGACTGGAAATAACCAGACACAGGTATCATGGCTGTGAATGCCTCCATGCATGCCACTTGCTAAAAGTTCTCTAGCCTTCTGCAAAGGGAGCTGGTCTTTAAAGACTGCTTAATGGAGAAGGAAGAAAAGCAGAGGAGAAGAATAACTCCTTCCTGCTCACTTCTGTCACTGGCTGTGCTAAACTTAACCTGCTGAATTGTTGGCAACATGCTGCTCTTCAAAAGCAGCTCTTTGTGGAAGAGCTCCCCTGTGACACGGGATAGCCGCAGTGAGACAGGAAGTATCCCTGACACAGTGCCTTTCTACAGGAGCTTGTAGCTGCAATCCGGTCCCACAGGCAAGTCAGGAAAGTTAGGAAAAGCCATTGCTCTCAGATCTCCAGGGGAACAGATTTTCCAGCTCCTTCTCTTCCTCTCTCAGTTCACCCTCATTGGATGAGACCAGCTGCTTGGGTTGTGTTCCCACCCCTCTGCCGTGGAGGCAGTGAGCGACCAGAGGAGCGCAGTGCGAGGGGGAAGCAGATGCAGTGTAAGGTCATGTCAGGGTACATGGCTTCCTCTGCTGCCAT